GTGTGTGAAATGCCTGGTGATTTTGATCGATCAAATGTATCAAACAAATGAAAACATTGAAAAAAATCGAAAAATGCTCGATAAATTTATTCTTGTCATTATTTTTCTCTGAATTTTCGACGAAAATCTCACTATCAATGCTGAATTAAACTATGAAATTCAACAGGATGCAATTATTGGGCTCACTGAATTTTTGGATTCGTTCACCGAAATCTCAGCAATCTGAATGGCTGATGATGCAATTCAGGCTTTCTTTTTCAGGGCTAGCCATAACGACGATGTGTATTGATTTGGTTGGTGTACAATACATAAGAAAAATACACTATTTCGGTCGAAAGATTCAAGATGCCCGATCTGCACTGGCCGTCGTTGGAGGGAAGGTAGTCATTGCTCGAACTGTTCTCTGAAATTCATTCTCGAACTACGCACATCTTGAGGCTTTCATATTTTTATGTGTTGGTTCAGGATAACAGAAGTTTGTTGTCTCTTGAATGAGTCTCGTGATCATAATGTAAATCAACCTGTAATTGAGCATCATCTCAGGTTGTTCTTGTATCCGAGTTATACGCGAATTTGATGCAAAAACGTGCAAGGGAAACCAGTCGGGATGCGTTTATAATCGAGAATCTTTATATATCAAAACATATTATTCCGTTCATTCCGTCAGACATTCGATGGATCAGGTTACAGCGCTTTTCTCGCGATTCCATTCATCATCCGCTGTGAATTTCACCAATTCTTAAGTTCTTTTCGAGCCATCTATCTCCGAAGAGATACGATGAGTATTTCGGAAGTTTACAACTGTTTTTGCCATTTTCTAATTGCTTTCATTCCTCGTTAGGACATTTTACCTTAAGATACAGTACGAGTAGAATAATGAAGATAGTGAATGAGCAACTTTCAGGTATATTGATCAGAACGCAGAATCGATTTCATCCTCATCGTCAAGTCTTGAGCTGCATTCATGCCGGTTTTGTCATTCTCGATTCAGCATATCTCGCCATGCATGATCATTGATCGTTGTGAACACTCATCTTTACTCGTGCCAACAAATCATTTGAAAATTTATTTCCGTATTAATTTGCATTTTTTGAATTTGTTATTTTGTGAATGAGTTAAAACTGTAACAAATTTTGACTAAATCAACAAAACGCTATGATTACACATTTGAACTGTGCTCATTGCTATTGTCTTTTGTTGCAATGTGCATGATGCTGACTGTTTTATTTTGAGAACCGTAACACAAATTTTTTAGATATTCACAAATTTATTGACGGTTCCGTGGTTTATAGGTGTATATTTGCATAGATTCCACAAATGCATATGATCACACAGTTACCTGATTGTGAGAATATTTCAAAACGTATTGCCAAGGAAACATACCAAGTGTGCAAGAGCATTCAATTATCTTTAGCAGTACTGAGCAAATACCTTTGACCATCGCATTTCGAATGGAAAAATCACTAATACTTACAGTAATAATAAGAATAAAAACAGGTATAGAAGCATTCGTAATGAGGATAATCCTGATCATAAATATACTATCATAATGCTACCTTAGATTACGAAAGTAACATATAGGAAAGTAATTTTACGAGACGTTTCGACGCAATAGATCAGCTTCAGCCTCCGAGTGTATTGAAAGGGCACTAGAGCAGCTGATTTTAAACAAATTGATGATAATTTCGTGAAGGATACTTGTTTGAGGTCATAACCGATCTCACTGAATGAGTACTCCTCTGATGATGAGAATTTGTGGGAAACAGTTGAATGATTTAACGAAGCATAAGAGAAAATATTTTGTTATGAACCTGCGTATTCTTTGGCTCAACGAAGAAATTTTTGAAAAGGATGTAATAAAAATGAAATGATAGCACACCAAAACGGAACCAATAGAAAAACACACAAACACCTACCTCAAATTATTTTCAACATCCTTTTATTATTGTAAACAAATTACTGTAAACATATTATTGTAAACATATTATTGAAAACAAAACTTTTTTGCGTTACTCATTCTTGTCTCATTTACAGAATAAGTTGTTTGTCGTCATAGAAATGAAACACGCTTGCTTGTTTAGTTCCACCANAAAAAAATTCTCTTTATTTGCGATATTTTATCAAATCGTAGCTGAACTGTGAGGTTGCAACTGATGAAAGATATTATTGAGCTGTTGAAAAAAAAATTTCGTCGATGAGATAGGCGTATTTGTGAATATAAGCGTGGAAGTTATCACTTAAGCTCTCCAGCAATCAAATCTTCTCGCAGTCAGTGATCGGAGAGTGTTTCCTAATCTAAGTGTCATTTCAAGCATTGTTTTAAAGTGTCGCGCTAAAACTACTGTCCAGTTACGATGTATTGAATGAATGCGATATATTGTTGATTGTAAAATCGTGATGTAATTAATTGTGGATTATGATGATACTATCAAATGTTGATCAGAATCGAATTTGTACCGTTTGTTATGTGTTTCATTATGATCTCGGTAGGACTGATTGTTGACTGTTGTTTATTTCCGTGATTGTTTGGTATATTTGTGGTATTTTTGAAGGTGCTTTTTATTGAACTTTTATCGTTTGATTGAATGAAGTCATATTTTGAGTGATTGTCGCTGAAATCACGTGTGGAGATCAGGAGAGGAAATTGCAGCCGGAATCAGATTATAGATCCAGGTGAGATTGGTTCAGAAATCTCTGTCTGATTGATAATTGTCAATTCATCCCAATCGTAAGTTCAATATAAAAGTCTCATTTTGAGCCTGTCACCTCCAACATTCTACACCAAAAAATTGTTAACCTTCTTGGCTAGAAATTCTTACCAGGTTGAGAAAAATCAATTTTTGACACTTTCNTGATCAATTCTAGTTTTCAATGTAGATCATACAACACATCGTAAATTAAACGAAAAAAATAGAACTTAGAATCGAAAGTGGTTAAGAGAGATTAATTGACCAGATATCCAGGATGCACAGCGAACGAAACATATGCTAATGATTTCAATATGAAATTGATCAGTCGCGAATCGGACCATTCCAATGGAAAACATCAAATTTGTCCAGGAGGAGCATAATGAAAACGGCAATACAGATTAGGGAGCGGAACAGTGAAATGACATAATTCCGCAAGCTTTTCAGTGCGAAAAAAAGTTGAGAATAGGAATGTTTTGGATGGTTGCGGTAAGATTCACACTCCAATTTGTTGATCGTCAGCAATCTTACAGGTGCCAAGAGGTTGCCGGCAGAGGATTGACAGCCGATCAGAATTCATTCAAATTCGTTTGAAATTCCAAATGAGCATTGATTCAAGGTTGCCCCGGTCCACGAAAATCCAAGGAATGTGTGCATAATTTTGGTAATCTTCATCGCATTCGGACCAGCATTTAGAATTCTGCAAAATGAAAAATTTCATTAAGTGATGTGAGTGAGTGTATGCATTATCGCATAGTGCATGACCGGCGTATTGGTCCCGTAGGTCATTCCGTTCCTTATGAATGGACACTGGTATCGAATCACGTGTAATCTGAACGCTCAACGCCTATCAATAAGGTTCAACTTCTTGGGAAGCATCAGTGTTTCTGAAAATGAGCATGAAAAGTGGAAAAAATCTTCTTCTTGTAAAATGATCATCCACTCGTACGATTAACTTCCTCTCAAAGTCAAACCATAGATCTAAATTCTATTTTTATCAACTTCTGC